AGTAGTGACCGACCATTTCACAAAATGGGTCGAAATGTTTCCTTTGCGCAAACTAGACTCTAAGAAAATCTGGGACTGTCTTCTCGAGACGTTCGCGCGCTTTGGCTTTGCCGCAACGCTTATTACAGACAACGCTTCTTATTTTGTTAGCAAGGTGTTCGTGGATGCGTGTAAGGCGCTAGGCATACGGCACAAACGGACTTCGCCATACCATCCACAGGCGAATATCACGGAAAGAGTGAACCGTAACCTGAAGCAGATGCTTGTATCGCATACAGAACGACACAAAGACTGGGACGCGAAATTAGCAGAAATGGCATTCGCTACCCGCGCAACAATCAACCGGTCCACGGGTTTTACTCCGGCCCAACTTAACTTTGGAAAAGAGCTCGTGTTTCCCCTGGGAAACGGCCTCCTTTGCACAGATCCTGCAAGCATGCAGCGCACAACCACGCAGTTCGCAGAAAATCTCCGGAAGCGTTTCACGGAGAACCTGCGTGAAGCTCGAGAGAGCCTCGACGTCTCGAGACTGTAGCAGGCAAACCAGTACAAGAAGGGGAGGCGAAATCTGCAGTTCAAGGTAGGAGATCTGGTACTGAGGCGAACTCATCCGCTGAGTGACGCTGCTAGAGGCTTCACGGCCTCTTTAGCAAAGAGGTGGGATGGCCCCTACCGTGTTAGTAGCAAGCTCTCCAACCTGTCTTATGAGCTGGTGCATTGTGAATCTGGTGAAGTGTGCGGGTCTATTCATGTCGCCGACCTAAAAGCTTTCTATGAACCCGAGGAGGTAGATGTGTTGCAGGTTCCAGATGACGACTATCCGGACCACCTCTCGGAAGATTCCACACCGTCTCTACCGCGGTACAACTTGAGACGGCGGTGAAGACGACCGGGAGTAGCACGAGTTCCAAGTGTATTATCTTCATGCCCTCTTCGGTGTTGTGGGGGGGGGGGGGGGGGGGGGGGAGAAGAGAAATGGTCCGCGCTCCCGCATGCACAGTGGGACAGGCATCTTTCGTGTGCGCGGCTACTTTTTCCTACCGCGCCATGGCCTCATGTTGTTTTTCGTTGCCTACGAGGGCAACGAAGTTAATTATAACATATTAATGATCGCGATAACTGGTGTTCATTTAAAAACCTCGAACATCGACAAAAACTTTCGCCTTAGCAGAGCGTGGTTTCGATCCACGGACCTCTGGGTTATGGGCCCCGCACGCTTCCGCTTTCTTTTTCTTTATTGCCGGTTTGGCACATAAACGTAGTTAAACAATCGCACAAAAATTGGGAGGTTAAAAGCATCCGGCCCGACCTAGCCGACGCACATGGTTTAAAAAAAAAAAAAACTCAGGGCGACAAGACTGTCTAACACTGAAATCCAGTCAGGCTGTTCACTCTGTGCTCTGTACAATTCTCTTAAGTGAACTATATGCTCGGTAAAGTAATCCCGCACGGGGCGAGCATCGACGTCAGCATGTCGCACAGCCATCCTCGATTTCCACATGCTGTGCAGGGCCAAAGCCATCAACATGTCGTAGGAAACGCCCCCTTCACTTTCTACAGGAAGAAAGCGGATGCCATAGGGTGACACTGGGAGACTCTTTCTTAAAGTACGCTGCATAATGTCCCAGTGGGATACCGCATTCCAGCAATCCAAGAAAATATGGTCGATAGTCTCGAGTTTCCGGCACAAGAGGCAGTTAATCGACCAAGGAACAAAAATGCCTTTTTCGTCAAGCCAGGGCTTAACGGGAAGCGTGACGGTGTGCAGCTGAAAAAAGAAAGACTTCACGGCTGGCCTTACTGGCATTCGTTTAACTCTTTTGAGGACATCCTGGCCCGGGCCCTCACAGAAAAGAGACCTATATAAAGGCACGGGGAAGACCACCTCGATTAAGTCTTTGTACAGGCGCTTTCGTGTAACTTCGCTTAAGTACTCCAAAGAAAATCGAACCTTGAGAAAATGGAAAGCCAAAATCACTTCGCGCAGAAAACCTCGAACCCGCGTACATCTGACATCACTCGAGGACACAACAAACTCAGACAATGCATTACGGAGCCTAACTTGGAATACAGTGCGCAGAAAAGGATCCTCCTGATCCCGCAGGAACATAAATCTTGACACCACTTGCCGCAGAAACAGATGGGCCAGACCTAGTCCGCTACTTTTCACAGAGCGGAACAAATTTCTACGACCGGTGCGCTCCCACACCGACCCCCACACAAAAATTGCGAAAACTCGGTGAAACTTTTGGACGCTGACTCTAGACATACACAAAGCTTGGAGCACGTACCAGACTTTAGCCACGATAAACAAATTACAAACTGTGGAGCGGGCAAACATTGAAAGATTTAGACCCCCCCACTTTGCCGTTTTATCCCGAGCCCTCTCGACTTCTTCCCTCCAGTACTCAGTAGAATCGCGGTAGTGCTCAAGCGGCACTCCGAGGTACCTGCCCGGCAAACAAGACCAAGTAACTCTTTCAAAAACAGCTGGTGTACTTTCCCAGCTACCATGCCAGAAGCCCACGCATTTATCCCAATTGATAACACTGCCCGAAAATTTACAAAAATTAAGTGCTTCTTTGACTACCTCGCAAACACTTTCTTTGTCGTCGCAGAAGACAGCAACGTCGTCTGCGTACGAAAGTACCTTGATTTCACTCGACAATAGCCTAAAACCGCGTATTCTTTCATTGAAAAGAAGTTTTAAACAAAAAGGCTCTAAATAGAGAGCAAACAACAATGGCGATAATGGGCACCCTTGCCGTACCGAGGAGAGGACTTGAAAACTTTCTGTAACTTTCTTATTAACAATCACACTCGCAAAACACTCCGCGTAGGACATTTTAACCCATTCCAACAATAAAGACCCAACGTTCACGTGCTCTAAAATACAAAAAAGGACGTCATGTGCTACTCTATCGAACGCCTTTTCGAAATCAAGCTGCAACATGGCTACGCGACCTTCGAAAGCATCACAACATTCCAAGATACTTCTTGCTACGTGTATGTTAGTTGCAATCGTTCGCCCCTTGATGCCACATGTTTGGTGGGGCCCGACGATAGATTGGATTGCACCTTGCAGCCTTCGCGCTAAGACCTTCATGACGATTTTATAGTCTACGTTTGTTAGGCTAATGGTATGGTAGGACTTAACAGACAACAGTTTCGCGGGATCATCACTTTTGGGGATTAATACTATATTCGTTTTCAGGAAGGATGGAGGCACTGCTTTTCTATCGTACGCCTCCGTTATCGTGCGGTGCAGGACCTCAGCCACATCAGCTTTGAAAGCCTTGTAGAAGGCGGCACCTAAGCCGTCGGGATCGGGCGATTTCCCTGGATTCAGTTCGTCGATAGCCTTCTCTATTTCTGTCACGCTAATCGGTGCCTCAAGGCCGGCTTTAATTTCATCATCTAATTTTGGCATGAGGGGCAAAAGGACGCTGGCAAATCCTTCTTCCACGTGTCTGCGGCGACCCAAAAGATCTTGGTAATATTCCACGAAGGCGCGTTCGATGGTCTTTTTATCGCGAGTCACCACGGAGCCCATGCTCTATTTCTTTTATTTCATTTTGCGTCGCATATCTTTTCTCATCCCCAAGTGAACGCTTCGTCGGCGTTTCACCCAACCACAGACGTTCGGCGCGGGCTCTTATCACGGCTCCTCTATATTTTTCGACATCGATACGCTCCAGTTTACTTTTTACTTCTTTTATTTCTCTAGTAAACTTTCCGGGTTGTGCACATTCAACGCTTAAAAGGAAATCTAACTGGCACTGTAGCTCTTTTTCTTTTTGCTTTTCCTGGCGGCGTAAGATACACGATCTTCCAATCGCGTTAACTTTGACTTCGTTTTTAAACTGCTCCCACAGTTCAACAGAGTTTCCCGACTCAGCCTCCAGCAATTTCCCAATGCTTTGTTTTACCCCGTCCATAAAAATCTCATCTCTCAGTAGCTTATCATTAAATTTCTACCATTCCCAATTGAATTGCGATTTTGTTTCCTTCGTTCCAATTGAAAACATTACCAGGCTATGATCGCTGAAAGAAACGTGTTTCGCTTCGTAATTTTCGCACAGTGGAACCAGGGCTGCGGAGATATAAGCTCTGTCTAGCCTCGCGTGACTCTCGCGTTGGAAGTGTGTAAACTGGGGAAAATCAGTCTTCGACAAAACAAACCCGACGTCCTCTAAATTGCACTCCCGCACTAACGAGTTCAAAAATAAAGCACTCTGGTCCCGAAGCGGCAGCTGTCGCGCCCTGTCTTCTATTGCGCAGACGCAGTTAAAATCACCCCCAAAAAATAACAAATCTTTCACAGTTTAGATAACATTCAACGCGTTCAAAAAACAATCTCCTATCACTCACCCGGTTTGGCGCATAAACGCAGATAGCTCGCCACTGCAACCCCGAAAAAGAAAAATCACAAACAATCAAGCGGCCTGATTCACAAACAATCACTGTTTCTTCCACAATTCCCAAAGAATTACGCAAAAAAGAGCACACCCCCTGATGTACCAACGGAGTGGCACACACATACATTGTATCACGATCTGAAAGGCTGCACCATGCGGTCCGTTTGCTCTTCGCCTTCCACCTTTGTCTCTTGGACAGCGACTACGTCAAGGTCGTTTTCCAGGAAAAGGCGGCTCAGCTGGTACTGCCGCCGCCTTGCTCCCAGGCCTCGCACGTTCAGCGTAGCGACGCGAAGCACTGTCTCAAGGCTTACTGCCATCAAAAACTGGATCAAACGGCCGCATGGTGCACAGCTCAAGTCGCTGAAAAACGACGTCAGACTCACAGTCCCGGTGTGCCGCCCGGTGGGTCCGACGAGAGAGTTCGCCGAAAGTTCGGGCCTCAAAGCGGCGGCACGAGGACATCGTCCCCTCAAAGTCCTGTCGGTTTCCAGTCCGAGAAGAGGTGCCCAACAAAAAACGGGTTATCGCACCTACGGGGGCGGTGTCCCCGGTGGTCGCCTCTCCGGAGGGATGTTGGGCTTAGGCTTGAGGCTTACCCGACGCACAGGAGTCGCTTTTCGGGGCGGTTCCTCGGGAAGGACCGCACTTACGATTAGACCTTCGTCGACGTCTTCGCGAGCCCGATTGGGGACTGCGCCGCTGGAGCCTGCCTCCCCGACACTCATGGCTTCCGACTCCTCGCTGGGCGTCGCCGCCACAGCTGAAACTGCGGTCTCTGTGACACCTTTCGAAGCAGGGGTACCGTCCACAGGCAGCGCCTCAGGCTGACAGCATCGCTCACCGTCGCTCCCGCTGTCGGCTCTGCCCCCGGTGAAAAGCTCGGTGGGCGTCGCTTCTGTGGGAGGCTCGCCACCTTCGCCTCCGGCTGCTTCTTGGGACTCGACCACATCCATGAGTAGCTCGGACGTGTCCTCATTCCCCACGGGCCCCGTGACGCTAGCGTACGTCCTTATGCATTGGCTGTCTTCGTGGCCGAAGCGCCGACAGAGAGCACGACGCGGCACACGACAGTCTCGACGAATGTGGCCTTTCCCTCGGCACCGGAGGCACAGCGGCGCCCTGCCCGGTACAACCACGAGCGCCAGGTCCCCAGCGACGCGCAGCTGATGAGGGAGGAAGTCCACGGTGAGTCCGGCCTTGAGCCTGATGGACACCGAGCGCGTCGTGGACCACGTGCCGGCGCACCCCTGGGCCCACCACATGTCTCTGGCGACCTCCGTCACCTTTCCGTAGGGCGCCAAGGCCACTCGCACTTCGTCGTCTGGGACGTGGTGCAGCAGCCAGTGGAGCTTCAGCCGCGTGTCCTGGTTGCTTGGGTCAACAACGACGCACCGTCCTTCCTTGACTGTGAAGTCCCCGGCGGCGAGCAGTTTTTTCTTGCCCTCGACACTCTTGAAAGTGACGGCCCAAACGTGGTTGTACTGGTACGCCCCCAAGGCGACCACCTCAGGGAGCAGCGCCAGGCCAACCAGGGCGTCACGAAAATGTTCCAGACGGTATGGCCTCATGGTCACATCGGCGTGCAAAAAAGCAGTATTCAAAATTGTTGTACCTGTTGGCAGCGTTGGCAGGATAACTTGGTAGTCCTGTTCGGCAGAAGCCATGTTCCTGTTACCGCGGCCAGCGGCCGCTGAACCCGCTCCGACGGAGCTCATGCTCACACGTCCTTTCGCTTCGGCGGCCGGAAGTGGAATCGAGCGCCACTCTGCTGTGATTTTTGGTGTAAGCAGAGGACACTCTCGAGAAGAATGCGGATAAATGCATAAAAAGATATTATAAATAATATTTCAAGTTAATTAAAAAAAGCATTGAGAATCGCGATAACTGGTGTTTATTTAAAAACCTCGAACATCGGCAAAAACATTCGCCGTAGCAGAGCGTGGTTTCGATCCACGGACCTCTAAGTTATGGGCCCAGCACGCTTCCACTGCGCCACTCTGCTTTTTTTTTCTTTTTTTTTTATGCTTGTTTTTGCATTTGGTACAGATAAAATGCTAAAACACTTCAATCACTTCTTTGTCGACGTGGTTACATTAAAGTCTCTTCAGGAGAACCAAATCATTAAGGACCTGCCACCAGTCTGGGGGTTCAGGTAGCTCCCGATACACCTCGCGAATGTAGGCCACACTTTCAACAAAGTTTTCTCTGACCGTGCGAACGTTCACGTCCGCATGGCGCACCCCCATCCTCGTCTTCCATATACTGTGAAGGCTGAGTGCCATAAACATGTCGTAGGGAACCCCGCCGTCATTGTCAACGGGCAGGAAGCGAATTCCCTGCGCTGTTATGGGTAGCTCTTTCTTAAGAGTGCGCTGGAGGATGTCCCAGTGGAAGATGGCATCCCAACATTCAATGAATACATGTTCTATGGTCTCAAGCTTTTTACATAAGAGACAATTGGTAGACCACGGTACAAATACGCCCTTTTCCTCCAGCCATGTCTTAACTGGCAGGACGCCGCAGTGTAATCTAAAGAAAAACGTTTTAACGGTGGGTTTTTACCGGCATTCTTTTAACTCTTTTCAAAACGTCTAAACCTGAGCTATTGGGGTATAAAGACCTGTACAGGGGGATTGGCAATAAAACATCCACTAATTCCTTATACAGTTTTTTCCATGAAACCGAACCCAAATACTCTAAAGAAAAACGCATTTTTAACATCTGGAATGACAGCACCACTTCACGCAAATAACCCCGGACACTCAAACACATGACGTTACTTGACGACACTACGAACTCAGGCAACAAGTTTCTTAATCGCGTTTGAATAACAGTGCGTAAGAAAATATCTTCCTGATCGCGCAGAAACATAAACCTCGATACAATTTGCCGAATAAACAAGTGAGACAAGCCTAGCCCACCACATCGAACTGATCGAAACAAGTTCGTACGAGCTGAGCGCTCCAAGGTTGAACCCCAGATGAAGACTGCGAACACTCTGTGCAGCCTCTGCACGTTGTTGCGCGACATGGACAAAAACTGCAACACATACCATATTTTTGCCGTCAGAAAAAGTTTGCAAACAGTGGCACGCGCAAACATGGACAAATCCCGGCCCTTCCAATTCCCCGTTTTTGTTCTCACCCTCTCTTTTTCGTCGTTCCAATATGGTTCAGTATCTCGGTAATGCTCTAGCGGCACGCCGAGATACCTCGCAGGCAAGGTTGTCCACTGAACATTTACAAAAACCTTAGGTGTTGTGTCCCAGTTCCCGTGCCAGAACCCTGTGCATTTCCCCCAGTTAATTAGGCTACCTGATTTCGCACAATAAGAAGAAGCAGTGCTGACTACTTCGCGCAAACTGTCTTGGTCAACACAAAAAACGGCAATCTCATCCGCGTATGATAGGACTTTCACCTCGCTAGAGTGCAGTTTAAAACCCCGAATATTATGATTACTGATGAGTCTTAAGCAAAAATGTTCTAAGTAAATGGCAAAGAGTAGGGGCGACAAAAGGCAACCTTGTCGCACAGAGGACCGAACATCGATTTTTTCGCTTACACTTTTGTTCACTACTAAACATGTAGAGCAACCATGGTACCACATTTTTACACCCTTAATTTTTACAGAGCCGACGTTTACATGTTCCAAAATACTAAAAAGCACCTGATGTGACACACGATCAAAAGCTTTCTCTAGGACGAGCTGCAACATTGCAACTCGGCCGTTGAGAGCGTCACAACATTCCAAAATGCTTCTTGCAACATGTACGTTAATGCCAATAGTTCGGCCCTTTATGCCGCAAGTCTAATGCGGCCCTGCAAGACATTGGATAACACTCTGTAATCGTGTGGTTAAAACTTTCATGTAGACTTTATAATCTACATTTGCTAAACTTATCGGTCTGTAAGAAGCAACAGACAAAAGCTTAACTGGATCGTCTGACTTCGGAATAAGTACTGTATGTGTTCTTAAAATGACGGTGGCAATCTATTGCTTTCGTACGCCTCGATTAGCACTTTTTGGAGAACATACGCGGCCTCAGTTTTAAACTCCTTATAAAATTCGGCGCCAAGACCATCTGGTCCGGGTGTTTTTCCAGTGCTGAGGTCGTCGATCGCTATCTGAATTTCGTGAACACTAATCGGTGTCTCTAAACTATCGCGGAAGTGTTCGGCGAGTTGGGGCATTAAAGATAAAAATTCCGAATCAAAACCCTCCCCTTGTTGTGTGCTCTGCCCGAGAAGATTGCGATAATGCTCGACAAATGCTCGCTCGACTGCTTTCTTATCACGTGTGACTGTGTTATGGCAGCAAATTTATTTTATCTCATTTCGCTGCGCGTATCTTTTTTCATCGCCCAGCGCACGCTTATTAGGCATTTCGCTCAACCAAAACTTTTCGGATCGCGCCCTCACAACGGCCCCCCTGTATCTTTCAGCATCGATCACTTCCAATTGATTCTTTATGTTCCTTATTTCCTGTTGAAACTCGCCGGGTTTTAAGCTTTCTTCGATTAGAATGACGTTCAATTGGCGCCTCAGCTCGTTTTCTTTCCTCGTTTTCTGATGGTTTAATATAGTACTTCTTTCTATCGCGTTCATTTATACCTCTTCTTTCAAACGTTCCCACCTTACCCCCACCTTGCTTGTTCACTTTCATGTAACGTCCTAAAAGACTCTTTGACGGCAGCTCTAAACACATCGTCCTTCACCAGACTACTGTTTAACTTCCATAGTGACCAATTCCATTTTTTTGCTTTACCTCTGTTACCCAAGGTGAACATAACCATCGCGTGATCACTAAAAGAAACATGCTGAACCGCGTATTGGCTGCATAAGTGAATAAGGTCTAGTGAAATTTACGCCCTATCCAGTCGCGCGTGACTATAACCTTGAAAATGTGTGAACTGTACGCTGCCGTTAGACGCGCAGTATCCAACGTCTTCTAAAGCGTTCTTCCCAACGATATCGTTTAAACAAAAAGCACTTTGGTCGTGTAGGCGTACTTGGCCGGAACGATCTTCTAGAGTGCAAACACAATTAAAATCACCCAGAAAAACAATAGCTCTATTACATTCGAGGTACAGACTGAGACTTTCAAAAAATTCTTTGCGTTCGCGTTCGCGATTTGGGGCGTATGCACAAATCACGCGCCATTCAACATTTGAATAAGAAAAATCACAAAAAACGAAGCGGCCAAAAGCGCTCGCGCCTACAGCCGTCTCGACAGCGCCAACTGATCTGCGAATAAAGAAACAGCACCCTTCCGGCGTCCCGACAGCATGAGAGACACAGACATTAAAGAGAGCTCGAAAAGGCTGCACCATACGGTCTGTCTGTTCTTGGCTTTCCACTTTGGTTTCCTGGACGGCGATAATATCTAGCTCGTTGTCCGCAAACAACCTGCTAAGTTGGTATTGCCGCCGCCTCGCCGCTAGCCCGCGTACGTTAATCGTGGCAAAACGTAGGGCTGCCTCTAGGTTGATGGCCATTCAAAGAAAAGACAGACCGTATGGCGCTTACCTCGGACCGTACAGCCCTTCGCTCTGTCGCGACGCAGTGGTGGCGACTGACTGCCCGTCGCGCAGACTCCGAGGTCCCAATCGGGCTCTGACTCACACACTCAAGGGGGTGGCTTGGCCGCCCTCCTCTCGTCCACGGGAATGTTCGGTTTCGGGGTGATGCGCATTCTCCTGATGGGCACCGTCTTGATGGGCGGCTCCTCCTGGCTTGCCGCGGCGGGGTCTATGCCGCCGTCTTCCCTGGTTCGCTTGGTGGTCAGGCCACTTGCAGAGGCCACGGCGTCGTCCATGGGCACATCTCCGACGGCCTCTACGTTCCCGTCGTCGTGGGCCTTGGCATGCCTGGTGCTCAGCGCGGTCACTTCGCCGGCCGAACAGTCCCGCAGCGCCACTTTCCACTTTCAGCGTCGCGTCCGCACCCTGTGCCGTGCCGTCCACGCTGGTCGCCGCGTCGCCCACGGGCGCAGGCGTGGCACCCGGGGACGTGCCAACAGAGCCCGCAGCGGCCTCCTCGGCGTCGGCCTCGTCCATGAGAAGCTCCGATTTCTCGTCGCTCCCCACAGGGGCCGTGGCCGCCGCGTACGTCCGCACGCACTTGGCGCCCTCGTGGCCGAACCGCCGGCAGACGTTGCACCTGGGGACGCGACACTCCTTGCGGATGTGTCCCGTCCGTTGGCATCGCAGGCAGAGAGGGGCCCTACCTGGCACCACGACGAGGGCCAACTCGCCGCCGACCCGCAGCTGGTGTGGGATGTCGTCCACAGTCAGGCCTCCCTTGAGACTGAGGACCGCCGTGCGCGTCATTGTGCCGACGCTTCCGCAGCCATCGACGCGCCACTTCTCCTTGGCAACTTCGACGACTTTTCCGTACGGAGCCAGAGCTGCCCGCACGTCGTCGTCAGCGACGTTGTAGAGCAGCCAATGCAGTTTGATCCGTACGTCCTGGTTGCTTGGATCGATGACGATGCACTGACGGCCTTTTACGACGAGCTCGGACATGGCCAGAAACTTCTTTTTGCCCTCCTCGCTTTTGAAGGTCACCGCCCACACATGGTTCATTTGATACGCCCCAAGGGCGATAACCTCAGGCAGTAAGGCGAGACGAACCAGGGCGTCGCGGAACTCTTCGACGTGGTAAGGCCGCCCCTTGATGTCGGCGTGAAGAAAAACAGTATTTAAAACAACTGACCC